ATTTCAAATCGCCAGCAATGAATTTTGTCATTTTTAGCCTTCGAAGCTTTACGCTTATCGCAAATGTAGGATAGATTTTTTTTTTGTTCTGTGACAAGAATAAAATATTTATCTTTCAAGTAATGATTCTATTCCCTGATTGCTTTGATGATCGCATTTGCTTCTTTCTCTACTCGCGAGTGGTTTTATTCAGAAGGGTTTAGAGTTCTGGACCAGAATGCAACAGGCCTACCTCCTTGATTTAGCGTCACAGCTAAGCTCACATAGCTGCATCAGTTTCAATTTCAAGCGTTTTTTTTTCATCATATAGAGTGTGTACTACAGCTCTTTCTAATTCTCTTTTCAAATATTCAAAGGAATCTTTTATTTTAGTGGGTATGGGGAATATAGTGTTGTTATTTAGCGCGTGAATTTTTAACAAATAGTTTGGGATTCAACAACTGTAGTAAGCGAACATTCCAACGATTCTCCTCTGAGCTTTTATATTGCCTGGAGGAGGGAGGTCTCATCCTTTGAGAGTCTGGTCTAATAGTCCCTTTACTTCATATCCCAGAAGTTTTATTTTTGTTATTGTCTAAAGACATTTTATGAGCAGTCAGGACGAAATATAGCAGAGTGGGTGACATTGAAGTGGTTTATCTACCATTATTATTTGTTCCTGCGTAATCATCTCCAATATATATATAGATGTATTTGGTTTGGTCCTACGACGAACGTCGGGGTTGCCATTTGTAGTAGTACGTGTTACCAATATGTGTAATGGCTAAGAAAGATGAGATTAAGGACAATGCGTGAAAGCAATCAATTTATACTTGACGTAAATAGCACATAGAATAAAATACAAAACTGAACTGAATGATTCCAAAACATAACAATCAGATTTATTAGGTTTATGTACAACATGCAATGAAAAGGTAGGACAGAGTCGTGTCCCTTTGATTTGGAAATAGTTGTACCAGAGTTCATATTAAGAAGTAATTTACTTTTTACTGTAATATTGAACTTGTAATTTAGAAGAATAAAGTTTGGATTTGTGAGTTTGCAAAGTTGGTAAAAGTTCAGGAGTGATTTCAGAGTTCATGAATGTTGATAATTATTTTTAACGTCTGGTCAGCAATGACTAAGACGGGAGTCGGTGAAGTTTACATCTTGGCACTTGGTAACTAACTACCCGAAAAGTTCACACGTGTTCGGTTAATGGTCAAGTGGCTCCTAGCATATGAGCGGGAAAACAGATTGGTCGCGTGCAGGCGGTTTGATTGGTCGGAACTGACCAATCAGCAAGCTAGATTAGAGGTGATTGACCAATGAATACTTGTTATATTGTATGAAAGTAGAATTTTACTTACCAGATAGGAAGAGTGCATTTCCTAAAAAGAGGTAAGGCTGGTTTGTTGTGGAAGATTCCACAACATCACAACTGCTCTTCGTTACCTACTCCACTACACCTTGCAAGATAGTACCTGGAAATAATTTCATCAACTGAAGAAATTTTCCATAACGTACAAAGTTTTCGTTTGCAGACTGACAATAGAGTTAAAGAGTTTGAGACCATTTTTTGGAGGTCTACTTTGTTAGCATACTTAAAACCAAAGTTCTCTATTTGAAATATTGAACTAAATACCAGTCACCATTCCAGGGCATTGCTGAGTAGTGAATAAAACTGACACCTACTAACTTACAAACCAGTTGTAGTTAAGTAGATCACAGCACCGACAAATTGGGAAGGGTAAATCCGATAAATGTAACCCTTGATGAATACATTCTACACATGTATAATCTCGATAAGACTGATTCGGTTTTCCCCAAATCCTACGATATTGGGATTAACGGCCAAGTCTAGTGTGAACCTCTCTATGTATGTTGTTTAACCCCACAGACAGTATTGAGTAATTCCTGTCTGTGACCATGGTAAACGTTTGTCCCTATACGTCGCAGGAAAGCTCCGAAATCAATCAGGAATCAAGAACTCCTTCAATAAAATGCACAGCTCTTTTGATAACTCTAAGAACAGGTTTATTAAATATAAAGAAAAACTGGTTGATTAAAATATCTATTATCTACTGCAAAACAAGTTCTCTACTGCAGGATGGAGATTTGGAATATCTAGTCGCAAACACGAAAGTAATAATCAGCCAGTCAATTCTTCCTCAATTCATCAAAGTAAAAGCCAGTCAATTGACTTTCACGCCATTCTTCTGTCATGCGTGTATCTGTGTTTTCATTCCTGGAATTGCAAGTGTGCTCTTTAGTCACGACTGCCCCGAGCCAATCCTAGTCGACTTCTCTTGGGCCCATTTTTACGACTGTCACTGTCTGACTTCTGTCGTTTATATCGATGAACGCCAATATTTGACATTGATATATCTAATTTCTCCACCCAACCGTCTTAATTTTAGGAGACCTTAAAAAACATGGTACTTCCTTTGTTTAGAATATTCCTAGAAATCTTTCCGTAAAGATAAGTCTGTTCTTGGTCGATCAACATAAACAAATCCTTGGGTATTAACATAGAACAAATATTTTCTTCTTTGTTCAGAATAATTTGTAAGAACACACACATTCTGAACAGATAGAGTAAAATATAAACAAACTTCCGTATTTTAATTTCTCAGGACCTAAGAAATTCGAACAATATCATTAATTATTCTTATCGCAAGAAAGTGGATAGGGCTTGCGATTCTCTTGGTTTTGCTCATTTTTACTGAATCTTGGCTACTTTATTCTCGGTTCGATTCTCTTTGGAAGTGTTCTTAAATTCATTTTATTATTTTAAAATATACATTTCAACGCGTTTCGTTTTTAATTTTATCCTCAACCTACTCTCCTGAGAATTTTAATAATTATTATCCAATTAGTAGCCCCTCCAAATCACCATCCTGTAATTTCATGCAATTAAACGTTTAAACAGGACCAGTTCCCTGTTACATGCTTACTCGGAAGAAGAAAGGTAAAAACAAACAATGTCCACTCACTAGGTAATTTCAACAAAATATCAAATTATATTAGTAGGATTAAGGATTATGATAGGTCATTCTTCGTTTGCACATTTTTATCTGCCATTAATTATGAGATGTCACTTTTACGCTATGCCAACGCATGATATTCCGCAACCTTTTATTGAATTCCATCGAAGACAATTTTTTCTTTCGCAGCTGCTTAAAGAAATCGACACATCAAAAGAAAAAGATTCTCCTTCATCACGAAGGCGGATCTTTTTTTTTTTACAAAGAACAATTCTCGTAATAATAAGTACAGAATCATATAGTGTATAACATCGATGCGGTATTCAGAACAAAAATAAAAACATCCAAAGAGCATGTAGACCATGAACTCTTCAAACAGCTTCCACGACGATCTTACTCTCTTAGCAGTGAAGGAAGGTCTGGGAATCACCAGTTTTGTTGTGGGGTGTGAACGTTTTTCAGCAAATATTTAATGGCTCATGGTGCACTTGTCCCGCAAACAATATTTGGCGGACATGTAAGTCCGGGTAAATATAAATAATAAAAATATGAAATTTAAACAAACAACAATTAAATTAAAATAATTAAAGCATGTATTAAAAAAAACATTAATGTGTACAGAGTTGAAAGGAAAAGACATTAAAAACTTTGCCATTAAGAATGTGTTTGTATGTGTGATATGCTCGCGTGTGTGTAAGAGTTCAGTCGGCCGGGGAAACGAACGTTACCCAGCGGGGACATCCCCATCTATATTGCTACATCTTGGAGCAAGAAGAAAAGGAAGGAAATGTTTGTTGTTAAATGGCACCACCTAATAGGCGTTTGATGAAGCCAAGTGGAGTAATACACAAAAGTGAATATTTCAAAGCTTGATCCTTTTTCTCAGTTGTGTGTTATTATCAGTTTGTGTTAAGTTTTATCGGGATAATGTATCTTAGTTTTTAAGAGATATAATTGCTAATGAGGCTTCGACTTCTGAAACAATACAATACTTAACCCAATATCATGTAATCATGAAGAAAACTTTGTTAATCCCTGCTAATAGCTGTGTTGTTACTTTTTGCAGCAGCTTGTGTGTGTGTGGAATTATGACAAATATAAAGCTACAAGTAACTGTAACACAAACAAAGTTATATTTGCTTAAAAATATTATATTCTATTTTCGGTATCCTATTTCAGTAAAAAAAAAAATAGGTAAAGAGTTTTATACAATCAAGAAAACGAACGTAGTAGCAGAGAGAATAAATGTGGCTAGCAAAGAAACGGAATCCTATACAACGAACTATAGTAAAGAAAGCTAAAATAATAAGCGAAATTTATTTCAAATTATGTCTTTGTTAATAATAAATATTTTTGAATTATTTGTTTTTTCAGTCTCCATCTAAAGAAGCAAAATTATTTTCTTTTTCGTTAACCTCAGTCTCGGTCGCAATATTTTCCTTGTATTGAATTTTTTTCTCTTAGCTCATTTCACATCTTATAAAAGGTATTTTAATTATTTTAAATTCTTTTTCTCATTATTATTAACGCTGAATTTCTGTTAAAAAGTTTAAATATTTAATTATATGCACGATCAGGACGAAATTCAGAGTAAAAGGAAATCAATCATTTTCTGTCTGTTGTTAAATGATGGATTTAATGACAATATCGTTGCTAAGCAAAACAAAGTTTATCAACCTGACATAAAATTGATGACACTGATCTATATTTAGATACTAACACAACATTGAAATCCTATTTTTAAGTGTTACTTCCTGGTTCGAGACACGATCGTACCAAAACAGGTTTTACTTTTTATCATCTTTTTTTTTTCCCACATCAACGAATCTCTTTTTCATTCTCTTTCTTTTTCAGAGTGAAAAAAAAAAGATTGAAGAATGTTTTTTATATCAGCATTAAATTGATGAGTTTACCCTATTACGTTGAGATGGCGTTATTGCTGCAGGCATTTACAATTTGTACAAATAGGCGAGATTATTTTGCAACAATTCACTCAACACACTTATTTGACTGATAGCTGAAACTTTATCCAGTATGGGAGCATCCCTGCAAATGCGACTTGCCCTATCTATCATCTCTGTTTTATTGTTAAGCGAAGTTCAGTTTTTCGTTCAATGTACTAACAAATATTGTAACCAGGGTAAAAACTGCAGAATAGAAAAAGACTGTTTTTGCGCTTCCCGAAGTTATCCCCTTCCATTGAAGGATACTCCGCAATTCATCTATTTTGGCTTTGATGACGCTGTCACCAAACTCCTGCAAATGGACGTATACGATTATATTTTTCAAAGCGGTCGCAAAAATCCGAATGGTTGTCCAATATCCTTTTCTTTGTATGTCTCTCACAACTACACTGATTACAGCTTAGTCAGACGGTACTATAACTTGGGTCTAGAAATTGGATCACATAGCGTTACTCATACACGGCTCAGCAATAAGACAGATCTTGAGCGCGAGGCTCGAAAGCAAAAAGATAACCTTGTCCGACTAGCTGGTGTAGACAAATCAGACATTAGAGGTTGGCGAAGTCCGTTTTTACAAACTGCCGGCGACTGGCAGCCGTATGTCCTTAAGAAATTGGGTTATGAATACGATATAAGTATGAGTATAGCCCGTCTCAGTATCGACGACGACAAAATCTTTTGGCCTCTAACTCTTGATTTCTCCTGGCCTTTTCTCTGCACTGTAGGACCTTGTCCTCGTCATGCACATCCTGGATTCTGGCAGGTATTTTGATATATTTAATCTTTAACACTCACAAAAAATTTCAAATGTACCTAAAGAACGAACAACTTTAATCAATTTCATTTCATTAGTGATATTGTTTTGTAAAATGTCTATAAAGGGGAGAAGCTTTTGCACTACTTAAAAACAGAAATTCTATTTTTTTTTTTAATTTGTTGATTTTCTTTACCCCTTTGTCTTTTAAATTTCTTGTTTCTAACCATAACAAACAGCAAGAGCTGTAATTCCTCGACCATAGATCTTTGCATATTTTTTATAATATTTTATTTATATTCTAATTATTATTCAGTCGCGAAAGATTTACTGTTAATTCAGAAAAAATGTTTTTAATCCGAATGCAAAGATAAATCGATATTAGAATGTATGTATGGCCGATAAAAATAATGAAATAGCACCTACGAAGAATCAGTCACCATATTCAATTTTCATAAACTTCGAACTGAAAGAAAAATTGGATAAAATTATAATTTGTGTTTGAAGAAATTATTTACATTTGATAAAATTTAACGATGAAAATCCATAGAGAATTTTAATCATCGATGCCCTCATTTTTTTAAAAGATCTGATTATTAAATGTTAATAAACTATTCTTTGTTTATTTTATCAGTAATTAAAATTATTCTTAAAAGTTTCCCTCGTAAAAATGTTTCTCCTACAGCTTACTCGACAAAAAAGACACAAGGAGATGTTAATAAAATTATATTTAATTTGGATTATCTTGTTCTTGAATCTTTTTGAAAAGTCAAGATAACCAAACCTTTCACATCAACTTTTCAAACTAATCTCCAATCCAACTGACCACCAGGTATAGATTCATTTACTTGTAAAATCCAAAGTTGTAACTACAGAAAACAAAAATTATTCTATACTGTGTCATGTATCTAAAAAAAGAACAGTAATCTTTCGGGCTGTTTGAATATAAGTAATAAGATTTTGTATTCATGTTTACTATATTTCTACAGAAAATGAAGAAATTGCAGTTTAAAATTTTACCATAATAAAATAATGAAAGCAAAAAAATTATAAATAAAAATTATAAAAAATAATAGAAAAATAATAAATACTGGAAGTTGTGTAATAACGCTATATTATAACAAATGTTACAATTTGAGAATATGTACAACAATAATAATCGGAATAAGAAACTAATTTGTTACTGTTATAGAATCAACTTATTGAATAGGGGTCAGGGCTTTTTATGAAGTAATGAAAGGTTCTATAGATGTCACTCTAATATTTCTTGTAAATATACTGATCGCCATTATGTGATCGTAATTGCTTTTAAAAGCTTGTTCTTTTCATAAACTGGTGTCAGTTTTTGTTTTTGAAACTCTAGAATTGAAGAAGGAAATTTTCAATAACTTCAGTGGGTAAGGTGGCAAAATAATAGAGAAAAATTTTGTTACTGAAGCGTTAATACATTTGAAGTGATATTGTGCTTCTCGCTATCCACTGCTGTTTCATAACTTCTTTAATTATAGGTTGTTGTATCAAATGATGTATATTCATTGTCCATATTAAAATGTGGATGTGCGGGTGGTGTAATGGATAGCGGCTGGGAATGAAAAATCTGTGAGCCGAGTTCAAATTCCATTAGATTTCATTACATTCACTTACCCGCAAATGCCCTTGAGAAAGTTATGAATCCGTTTCCCCCAATCTATGGGTTAAAAATAAAATAGTAGGACTTGTATCTGGAAAAATCATTGTTATTCTCAAAAATTGTTAATCTAATATTCACTTGAAAAAAAGAAGAATTATTCTTACAATTCAAAATATGTTTCGGTTTTAAGTAACGCACAAGGGGTTGATAAGCCGTAACAATCAACAATTTTAAAATACTCTTAAAATTTTTATCGAGAAAATTTCTTATTTTTTACATTTAAAAGCTGTTGTTAAAATACGAATTCTAAAATATATGATTTTTGAAAAAAAAACCTTTTATCAGGAAAAGGTTGCATTTCAAGTTATTTTTACCAGTGCCCATTTCATAGCAACTTTGGTTTTTATATGTAAGAGAATTTTTTGTTTTTGTTTTTTTGTGATGCAAGTTGATTTTTGTGAATGTATTTTTTCATAACAATCTTATATGAAATTTGTACACGTTGAACATTATTGAAAAAAATACATAGAATCTATCATTCGCTGTTGATTTACACTATCCTTTTAGAGTTATTCTTTTAGGGTTATTCTTTTAGAGTTATTCTTTTAGAGGTATCCTTTTAGAGTTATTCTCTAGGTGTATAACTTTCTACAAATTCATAGTTTTTGATTCGCCTACTTAATATCTAAATTTCTTATCCAGTTTTTAATTTTGTTTAAAATAAGCCTTCATTTAACTCTTATCTCTTGTGTGTTAGGGGTTTAACTGTAATATTTTCTAAGCTTTCTGTAGAGAAATGAAAAAGTATTTTTAAACATTTTGTTCAGCATTCTGTTATTTTATGGAGCAATCTCCGTTTAAAATATAAAACGAATTTTCTTTTGTAATGAGTTTTGTTGATATTTTTCTCGGATTTTTGTCAAACTTCCTGATCATGTAGAGGAAGCAATTAAATATTCAACTTATTCCGCACCTTCGAGCAGTAAAGAAAAACAAAATGCTTTCAGAAACGAAAATCCATGAATGGAATTCGCAGGGACGGTGCAGGAGTTTCTCCCCCCCCCCCCCATCACCACCTCCTGAATCTACGATACGGACCCCCATTCTACTACATTTCAATTTTCATAAGGTAGTATTCATATAATATACAAATTTTATTGTAACGTAATTGTGTAACGGATCATATGCAATATTGGTGAACAATTCAACTAAAAATATTGGAAATAAATACAATAGGGGGGGGCTAAGAAAAGTTTTTAGTCAGGAGAAAGAAATCTACATCCAGTTTCAAAATTTAATTTTGTAATCCCAACTCAACATAAATAAACAGTATTTGGAACTAATATGGAGTAGGTCCTCCATTTGCTAGTTTCAGTGCTTGTATTTGATTTTTCAAGTTATCAACAATCGTCTGATTCATATTTTGCCACTCCTTTAGCAATGTTTCTTTAAGGGTTGCCACTGACGTGATTTTGGTTGCACAATCTTGAAGTTTTCAGTCAAGGCGCTCCCAAATATGCTCTGTTGGATTCATGTCAGGACTTTGAGCTACCCATGACAGTGACTTGATTCCCTGCGATTTCTTCCAGGCCCTGGCTACTTTGCTCATATGACATGGCGCTCCATCTTCTTGAAAAACGTAAACATTCTTGTCACTCAGTTTCAAATAGTGGGAGTAGTCCTTTCTCAATAATATTTGACAGTATTTTGGGCCATTCAACTGCTCATCAACAAGAATCATCTCGGATTTCCCTCCAAACTAAACAGTGCCCCACACCATTACTCTAATCCCTCCATGTTTCACGGTTGCCTTCAAACATTCAGTGTTCCAAGTCTCATGCTGATTTCTCCAAACATAAACCAATCTCGAATTAGAATATTGGCAGAATTTACTTTTATCTGACCAAATTACAGCCTGCCAAAATTCATTATCTTTGCTCTCAAATTCTCTCGCCCAATCCATACGAAGGTTCCTGTTAACCTCTGAAATCAAGAGCTTCTTTCTTGCAACTCTTCTTTAATAGCCTAGCTCTTTCAGAGTCTTTCTCACTACATATGGCGACATTTTTGATACTCTGACAACGGTTTCTGATAACTTCCCTATTCAGTGCCCTTTTTGTTCGCTCAGACACGATGCTTGGTTTTCCTGAATGTTGTTCCACAATGGTGTTCTTGACAATATTATTAACCGTTTGATGATTAACCTGGAAAAACCTAGCAATTTCTCTATTTGACTTGCCACACTGATGCCATTCTATTATTTGCCCTTGTTGAAATTCACTAATTTCCTTACTTCCACAAACTTTCATTGCAAGATATAAGTCAACTATTGTTCATAGATGAGAGAGCTTGATACTAACACGGTATTGTCTGAAAAAAAGAAGAGACGTTATTAAACAAGCCGAAATTGATGTAATCAAGGGTGGCTAAAAACTTATAGCCCACTCTACAATGTATCAATGTACAAATAAGAAACATGTCATAATAGCTCATTCCATTTTAAATAAATCAATAATGTTTTGCGGCAATTTTTAACATCAACTTCAGATTTTTGTTGTTAAAATTTGAGTAATTTTAATACATTCAACTATTATGGATGAAAAAATATTGCGACTTTTATTCAATGTTTTTTTTCGAGGTTTGGCATGATCAAAAAATTCACAGATTTCGACAAAAAAATAAAATGACGTCAAAACACAGGAAAATTTTTTTTATCTTTAGTCAGTTGTGCTTCGTTTGATTTGTAACGTATATGAATGTAGATAGAAAAAAAGAAAATGTTGATAAGATAGCGAGGGTTACAACACACTGCCCGGGGCCCCTAATGAGGCACACTCCGGTCGGGCGTTCGGGGTAGTATGCACCGGCCTTGGGAATACACAAAGGAATGCGGCCATTTCAAAACAATGAAACACATTTTATATTACAAGTAATGCGCACAAAAACTTACAGAGTTTTCTCTATTTAATTTTCTTATTGTTATTTTTATAGAACTCAGGATTTGGCGAAGTTTGCGGATATCTCTTCGGTAGAGTACCCAGGTTTCACAGGCGTACACTAGAGTCGAGATTACAACAGCATGAGTTTGGTGGTTTGTGTTAGCCCAGTATTGTTGAAAACTCTTTTCAATAGCTTCCCGCATGCTGCGTGGGCGACCTTGACTCGGTTATCGCCGTCTTTTTCAGTAGATGCATTTAATGTTAGTAACGTATGGAATTGTTCAACATTCTCCGGTTCCAGTCTGTTGATGGTCATTTTGACTTCAGGTCGTGGTTGAAGCAGGACCTTCGTCTTTACTACGTTGATGGTGAGTCCATAGTGCATGTACGCTCTGGAGAAGTTGTCCGCTGAATTCTGAAGGTCTTCGTGTCCATGGGCCAAGGTGCAGTTGTCATCGGCGTATTGGAGCTCTGTGACCCGTGCGTTTGTTTTTCGGTTCCTGGACTGGAGGCGAGTTATGTTGAAGAGGCCGCCATCGCCGCGGAATCGTAGATCAATTTCTAAGTTGTCACCTGAAATTTTTTCAAGTAGGAGAAGAGGGTAAGCGCAAGTACGCACCATTGTTTTAAGCCACTTGTTATGGGGGAGGGACCGAAATACCGGTTTGATTTTAGAAACGACCCATCATTTCTTGTAGAGCTCGGATGAGCGCCGATGGACGTAGACTTCCTGACGGGACCGAAAACCTTAATTTCTGAAAAGATTGTCTCATATTTCCGATGTCAACATATTGTTGTATTTCTCCCACCTGGTTTCTCTATCAGTGGTTTTGGATTCTGCAAAGCTCCCTTTCGCAGTAATCCTTGAGATGGAGGAATTTAGCTTTCATTCGTTGAGGTGATGGGTGGGATTCATATTCAATTTTGGCTTTCCGTTTCGCTTCAATTTGTTGGGAGATTTCAGGATCGTGCTGGTCGAATCAGGCTTGCTGGCGTCTTTTCGTGTGTCCGATGGTTTCTTTTGGAGCTTTGCATATGGTCTCCCGAAGGGATGTTCACTCTTCTGTGATTTGTTGGCCAAGGGTTGGCATCGCAAGATGACGCTCGACTGCGTATTCCCTGGTCATGTTTGGATCAATTTTTGCGTGTCAAATTTCCGGGTCGCTTGGTGTTTGATGCGTGGGCATCTGCGTGTTTGGATGCTGGTCTGTCCAGCAGTCGTCGCCCCCGGGGACGGAGCATGTGATGATGACGTCTCTGCGGTTTCTCTGAAGTCACCGAGGATGATCAGTTTGTTCTTTGGTGTAACGGAGGAGATACGGTCATTCATTTGTCTGGCAGAACTTGTCTTTCATAGGTTCATCAGAGTTAAGAGATGAGTGTCAGGAAATTGTCATGATGCAGAGGAATGCGGGGAGTCATCAGTCGTTCGTTGATGGCTTTGGGGAGGAGATTGTGGGTATGCACCAGGAGTGTTCTGACCACAAAAGCCATTCCATGTATACGGTGTTCTGGAGCTGGTTTTCCTTTTCCCAGAAGATAGAATATCCGGATCCCGCTTCATCAATTCTTCGGCTAATATTCTGGATTCGCTGAAGGCCGCTATCGATGTTGAAGCGTACGAGCTCCTTGCAGACGAGGGAAGTCCTCCTTTCAGGCATTGCGCTATCTTGAAGATCGAGGAGCGTTCTGATGTTTCATGCGCCAAGAGTCAGGATGGTGTAGCTAAGATAATTGAAAGAGTTTGGTCGACCGCAGAAAATGGACACTTGCTAGGCGCGGTTTTCCAGCCAGGTGAAGATGATGGCGTTCAAAATTTAGCCCACCTTTTATAGGCCATTCTCTAATTGGGGTGGGCAGTGGGTATTCCTAAAATAGGTCTGCCCATCCACAGTGGGCAGGATCTCATATCAAAGTTGCCGTCATTTCTCCGGCAGGCCACCATCTGCCGCCTACATGCAATTTGAAGACTAGAGGCTTCCAGCTGAGCCACAGCCTGTCCTCGTTACCTCCTTGTAGCCATAGGATTTGAAAAAAGAAAAGTTTGAAATAGAGAACGTGAAAAGAAGAAAATATTTGAGCATGAGATCCTTCGCTACGAATTGTTTGCAGTGATCCATGAGTCGTCACTCAATGACACACACACACACGTCAGCTGATCAACCAGGGCTTGAGAGATAGGTTCGTGATGACAGCTTGCATCGGGCTGCCGACTTGTTCTTGTAGAACGTCGCCTTGAACGCGTAACCGCCGGGTGTCTGATCGTGTTTAGTCTAGCCCCTTCCCTGAATCCTCACTAATATGGGTAACCCTACCAAGAAACAGAGCTCCCGACGGCTCCCGACGATGGATTCAGGTTTCTCGAGACGCGCAAGCTCCCCCACCACAACATATATACATGTTTCAGAAGCTCAAAAGATTAATGCTTTTTTTTTTAAATATATGAAACATTAGGTAAGCAAAAACACAAGAAAACAAGACAAATTACATGAATAAACAATCATATCGAAAAGTTTCTTCATTTTAGAAACAGATACCAGAAACAAAGAATGAAAATATATGTCAGGATTTAAGCTTAAAATAGTCGGAGATTATGAAATCATTATTTAACATCCAATAAATAAATCATTATTTAACATCCAATAAATAAATCATTATTTAACATCCAATAAAATCATTTATACTTCCTTTTTCACAATACTAATACCTAAACTATCAATTGGTAAAAATGAACAAGAGTAGAAAATGTAATGTTGATAAATATAACTTTAGGTAAGCAAAAAAAAACAGAAAGTAAAAATAAGACAAATGATCTTCAGGTTATTTGTACAAAACAAATAAATACTAATATAGAAAAACCCGATAACTGTAGAAAAAGTTAAAATAAACTATAATAAATAACACATATATAACTTCAAATGATAATAATAATCATAATATTCAAATTCCGTTTTTTCAATTCATTGAAAATAATCTATTGAAGGTATTCTCTTTTCAATCATTTTTTCCGAAACACTCCTTTTGAAATAGACACAGCATCGCCATAATCAGGATAGGAAACAAGGTTTATCAAAAAAAGTCCCGTCTGAACACCTCATAGTTTGTAATTGTCTTAATTCTAGGTAATGGTTAGAGGCAGTGGGTTCTATTTTTTCACATAAATGTTTATATAGAGGCTAGTGTAGTCGTTTCTCTACTAGTGTTAGTTAAAGCATACGGTTGTATGCGGAACTCAAGAACGGCGGATTGAACACTGTATTTTGTATTGTACGAAGGGCATTCGAGGAATAGAGACGCATTTAACTACAAGCTATTTCGGCTTTCCTCGCAATCCTGGTGGACAGAAGTTTCGATATTAGGCTAATACCCGAATTCAATAGGACTGCTATCGAGCTATCAATTGAAAATGTGGAGTTGGTTTGTGAACTCTGTGAGATGAAGAAAGTCGAGCGGATACTACCACTACGCCTGCGAACCGAGACTCTAGTAGCAGAGGTCAGATGCAGAGCAGATTAAGCAAGCCCTTATATGGTGGATTCATTCACTGCGCATGATCAATTTGTGTCACAACTTTTTCAGACAGTGGAAACCGTGGACGATTTTTAGCAGAGTTAAAACGGTTAGATTTGCTGGATGACGTGCGCATTTGTTTCTGGACTGTCACAACAGGTTAAGCAACTTCTCAGAGCATCATCCAGTGTGGACACCATGACTTTGGACCAGATTTTGACTAGGACTTGGGCTGTTATAAAAGATAGCAAGGAGCCCGATGAGTCGGTCGCCGCATCCGCTCAACAGACGCATAATGATGTTACCGCACAAACGGGCGGCATCGTTTGTTTTAAGTGTTTTGGTCCCAGCCACCCGGACATGAAGATCCCGCCGCGAGATACAGCGTTTTCTGTGCAACGTCAGTGCCGGTTTTCTCCCCAAGCAAATAAAGAACACGCCGCGGCCTATTATTGAAGTGGCCGTAGACGGAAAGAAATGTACGGCTCTGGTTGATTTTGGCTGCTCACAGACAATGATTGCGCATACCGCAATTGGCGACCAATGGAGACGGAAGTCCTAATGGCCGACCATAAGGCCCTAACATGCCGTGTACATGGAAGTGTTACGTTGAATATTGGGCATGCTCAACCCGTGTGCATTGATGCCCTAATTGTGGACAGGCCACTACTTGGGTTCGATCTTCTTCTTGGGTTGGATATCTTGAGGTCATGCTCTGCATCACCGTCAGTTCAGCAAAGTAAGCTCATCCCTCAGTTAATATGATAATATCAGAGAACGAGGAGTGGTGCACATAGCTCGCTCAGGAGAAGTTCATTTTTTTGAAGGAAGCATGCTTCACTGTGCTACGAATGGATACCCACTTATAGCCCTAAAGCAGGTGTGTCAAGCTGGCGGGCTGCATGCGCCCCTTTATATGCATCTTGGCGGCCTCACAAAGTTTTCTATAGCCGTGGAATATAGAGAGAATTTTGACTATGTTGGTAATGCATATTTTTAAAAACAGTGACATTTTTTTTGAATTGATATGATTAGAGTGTTTATTCTATCTCAATGATTTTTTGTTTTCGAATGTCAGCGACTATTTTTAACTTCCGGTTAATCATGTGATTATCCTTGACAACTAAATAAGAACAAATGTAAAGTGAAAATGTTCGTAATTTTATAATATTTTGCCTTAAAAATGTCGAATTCTCCTCTATCTCGTAAAAAGAGAAAATTATCTGAAGAAGGATGTGTGTCTCAAGAAAAGTGGGAATTACAGTACTTTTGTACCACTCTTAATGGAAAGATAAACTGTTTGATTTGTAACCACTGAATTGCGACGCCAAAAGAATATAATGTGAAAATACATTATGAAACAAATCATCGATCTTATGATAAATATGAAGGAGATATGCGTGTTTCGAAGGGATTCAAGAAGGAATTCAAGGTTAAGTTAACATAGCAACAGAGTTGCTTTACAAAAATTCAGAATGGCAACATTAGTTCTGTTAATGCAAGCTTTGAACTCTGCAAAATGATCGTCATCAGTGAAGGAGATTTCATAAAGCATTGTCTTGTAAAAACAGCTGAAATTGTATGCCCAGAGAAGTCACACTTATTTCAAGACATTTCAGTAATCAGGAACACTGCTGATGAACGAATTGATGAAATGGTAGGTGATTTGAGTCAAGAGCTGAAGACTTTATCATCAAGTTTTGAACATTTTTCTATTGCTCTGGATGTTAACATAGCTGGAATAGCACAGCTCGCCATTTTCATCGGGGCTTGTGACAATGAATTTCAAATTTATGAAGAACTAATTGAATTAGTCCCAATGCAAGCCAGGACTTTTTTGAGAAAGTTAAACAGCTTCTCCATGAGTATGGCCTTGATTTGAGTAAGCTTGTGTGTTTATCTACTGATGGTGCTGCTAATATGGTTTGGAGACATAATGGTGTTGCTGCCAAGTTAGGTACAAAAATAGAAATCATATATCCAGATTCAACATTCTAGCATTTTCACTGTATAATTCATCAACAGAACTTATGTTCTAAGATTTTAAAATTAGATCACGTGTTAAGTTTTGTCACAAAACAGTGAACTATGTCAGAGGTCATGCTCTGCATCACCGTCAGTTCAGCCAAGTAAGCTCATTCCTCAGTTATATGATGATATCAAGTGTTTCATTGCAAAATTAGCTTTATTGAAGTCCCACTTGTCACATGAAAACTTGATTAATTTTTCTATGTGCAAAAAACTGTCAATACTGAGTCTGTATTTGTCTTTGCTAAGTACGACAATTACCTGGAATTGCTGTCAAAGGAATTTTAGCGAAGATTTTGTGATTTTTCATCTTGTGAAGATCAGTTTGCATTATTCTCAGCACCATTCACTTTTGATGTTGCTCAGGCAGATGAAAGTCTACAGATTTAACTACTGGAAATACAGACTGACTCAATACTCAAGGGAAAGTACCTAGAAGTAGGGGTACCCGGATTTTTTTCATACCTTCCTCGGACATTTAAGAACTTCAGAAAGTTTGCCACAAAGATTATGGCGATGTTTGGTTCCACATATGTCTGTGAGCAGTTATTTTCATTTACGAAGGCGATAAAAACGTCTCACAGAACCAGTTTAAATGATGAACATTTGTTCTTTCTTTGCTGAAAGTGGGATCTACAATAGACATTCCAACCTGATATATCGAGAATAGTTTGTCTAAAGCGATGCTTAGGTAACTGAGTACAAAAGCGAAGAACGCTAATTGGCGAGGTTGGCCTGATAAAAGAGGGCTGAAGCAACGAGAAGGGAGAATGGCTTTACGTTGGTGAAGTGTGCGAAACTCAAGAACGGCGTATTGAACATTATGTATTTTGTATTGTAC